AAAAAAAAAAAAAAAAAAAAGAAAGAAAAATTAGTCTAATAAAATTTGCCAGAAAAAAAAAATTGCCAGAACTCGGGAGGGGGGGTGGGAGGGGCTTTGGGTTCTGAGTGGTTGGGCAGATTCGTATGGGGCTCAGATATGCCCTAAACAAGAGGACCAGCGACTGGGACTCCATGGCACAAAAGCAGCAGGACAGAACTCCTGGGTACTGGGATGACCCAACTCCGGGCTGCAGCTCTCGGGGGAGTACCTGCTGTCTACCAACCGCATTGTTGGGGAGAAGACATGGAAACTGTCAGTGGTGTAGAGAGCCACACCTGACGGCAATGTAGAGAGCTGCGTGGAGCCACCTGATGGTGCTGGCTTCTGCCCTCCGCGATCCCAAAAGCGAGTGCTCTCTGTGATCACGCAATGATTGTCAGCTGCTTGCATATGCGTGGACCTATGTATGGGCAATGCCCACCTGGCAATCCGGGGTTGGCGGGCCTGTGCCTTTTTAAGGGCCGGGAGAGGTTTGCCCGGAAGGAGAGAGAGAGAGAAAGAGAAGGAGAAGGAGATAGATTGCTGTGAATAAAGTCCTGACTAAACTGCTGCAAGAAGAGCTCCGGGTGTTGCGTCTTCCTTGCTGGTCGAGGGTGGACGTGACACAGTGGTGTGAACGTGGAATGCTGCCCCTTCTGTTACTAGCCAAGTGACCTTAACTCATGTGTGGGAAAGGCAGGACCGAAGCCCTCTCTGGTTGGCCACCGCTCGCCGTGCACCCCGGTGTAGTCTCACCTGCAGAATTCAGAGGAAGTGGGGGAATCCACTGACACAGTGTCACACGCTTTAGTGTCTGCTTCTGGTAGGGAGGGTGGCCAGGGGCCACAGAGCTTACCTGAGGTGTCTATCACAATGCCACCCGCTTCTCGGATGATGACTGTGGCAGCTGCCAGGTCCCAGCAGTGAAGGCCAAACTGATAGTAGGCATCAGCGGCTCCTGAGGCCAGGTAGCAGAGCGCCAAGGTGGAGCTTCCAATCACTCGGACCCTGCAGGGAAGGGAAGGACAGATGTGGGTGAGCGAGACGGCACCTGGCATGCCACGCTCGATGCTCATCCCCTCACCCCTTTGCTAGGGATTCTGCCAGCAAGCTCAGGACACAGAGTGCAGGCCTGGGTAGATGAACTTTTTCCTCAATGACGGTAGTGTGCCACTCAGCCTGGTCACCAGGGGCTCCTGAGTGTGAACTGTGGCCAGTGCAGCCAGAGGCCTGAAGTTTACCCTACTCAACACAAGAAGGTTACATGTAGGCCTTCAAGTGGCTGGTGGTTACCACACAGATGAAGGGGAGACGACGATGAAGTAATTTTGGCATAAGCACATGTGAGAATTAAATAAGCAACAGAGCTGGGCAGTGGTGTTATATGCTTTCAATCCTAGCACTCGGGAGGCAGTGGCAGGTAGATCCCTGTGAGTTCAGGGTCAGCCTGGTCTACAGAGTGAGTTCTAGGACAGCCAAAAGTACACAGGGAAACCCTGTCTCAAAAATCCAATACACAAACAATAACCAAACAAACAACTGTTTACCTAGCAGTTATGTCTACCTGTGGCCACAGACCACATCTGTCTAGGTACGAATATGACCCAACCTGCTTATAAATATGATACCCTAACAGAACATCAAATGATTGAACACTGTTGTTGTGAGAGAGAATGGCCCCCAGGTGCACATGACACATATAATTGGTCTCCAGTTGGTGGAACTGTTTGGAAAAGACTGGGAGGTGTGGCCTTGTTGGAGGAAGTATTGGCTCTGAGGTTTCAAAAGCCCACACACCATTCCCCAGCCATCTCTCTTTGCCTTGGGGTTGCTGTTTCAAGGTGTGAGCTCTCAGCTGTTGCTCCAGGACCGTGCCTGCCTGCTGCCATGCTTCCCACCATGATGGTCATGGATTCTAAACCTCTAAAACTATAAGACCCAAATAAAGTCTTCCATAAGTTGCCTTAGTCACAGTATCTGGCTATAGGAATAAAAACACCCCTGGTCCACAGAAGTCCACTGAGAGATTCTTCAAGACCTCTAAGACTCATTGGTCCAGGGACCCAAGCTTAGTTACTTGGCTCTCCAGCACAGACTAGAAGGACGCGGGACCCATTGTTTCTTCCGTGGATGATGGCGCCTGGCGCGCCTCTCTGGGTCTGGTGCCGGCAGCCTCCTGTCCTACCTCTCTCGGTGCCGCCTCTTCACTTCCCTTGGGAGTGTTTAGCCAAGAGCACATTTGGTTTTCAACCCACTGGCTACGGGACTGAGGACCTGTACCCATGAGCCTTGGCGTGCAGCAGCCGCTCCATGTTGCTCAGGAAAACTTTCAGAGTATCGGGGTCACGTTTGGGCCCAATTTCTGTCAGAACCAAGGCCTTGGCGAGATCTGCAAGAAAGAATTTCCCGTCAGCGCAAACACACTGAGCCCAGGCTAATTCCATGTGTCTCTCTTCTGTGACGGGCAGAGGTAACACTAACCTGCTCTATTCAAACTGTCACTGCCCTGCCCTGGCTGCTGAGGAGCACCTCCCAATCTCCTCTCAGGGGCACCCTACTGTACAGAGGAGCACACGGACCTCAGGAGAACCCAGCGGCTTATAAAGACAGCCACTGTCAAGTGATCCCACACTGGCAATCTTCCATGTCTGAAGATGAAAAGGACCTCATCAAATACATCCTCCCATGAGGGTTTAAGAACTTCCTCTGTCTTCTCTGATCACAGGAGTGGGTCTCTTCCTATAGAGGTGACTTAGGATCCATGCTGCGATCTGGACACAGAGGGGCGGACACCTGGAAACTCATGGCCGCCATCACTCCAGGGCCATATAAGTGCTCACACCAAGGACCCAGATTTGTGATGGGCTGGACAGTACCTGAGCCGGAAGTCTAGCTTCTGGGTCAGGAGCATGACTGAGACTCACTTTGGGGGAAGTCAGGAGCAACCTGTCCCTGTGTCACGTGGGCAACTGGTCCCACCTCAGCAGGTCCCACTGCAGGCAGGAAGGAGCACACTTGGGGTGCTCTGGTAGAAATCACAGCGACTTCACGCCTCAGGGGAACAGCCTCTACCATGTTACTTTACTCGGCAGGCCTTGTTCTGTGAAACACCGCCGAGACAGCCTTCCACACTCCACATCCCCTCGCTCCTGTCTATACAGGCAGGCTCTAGCTTTAGAACTACAGCAAACCAGGGGGAACCCTACACACAGCTATAAAGGGGTAAACGAAAAGAGCAGAACCCCATCTCGACAGTCAATAAAAGGAGACTTGAAAACCCTGCCCATAAAATAGAAATGGTGTGAAAAAGACTGCATAAAAAAAAAAAAAACAGCAAAATTAGAGGGCACAGAGCTAAGGGGGAAAATGGAAACTATTTTAGATCGTGAACAAAAAGAACATAAGCTAGGAGCTAGAGGGTAGCCCCAGGGGCTAAACTTCCTGCTCTTCCAGGACTACAGTTTGGTTCCCACCACCCACACTGGTTGGCTCGAGACCACTTGTAACTCCAGCTTCAGGAGACTAGACGCCCTCTTCTGGACCAGGAGGGCATCTGCACGTAACAGACTCGTGAAGAAAGGGCACCAATTCCCTACAACAGATGCCCCAAGACAGAACACAAAGTAACACAGTTAAGAAAAAAAAAATACTAACAATTACAACTCTAGAATACTTGTTTTTTAATTAAAAAGAGGTGAAATATTCAAAGAACCATGTCCCTAGGAAAACAGACTCAGCTCTGAAGTCTACCTCAATAAAATTACTGTAGTCTAGAGATGAAACAAACAAAAAGACACCCCAGAAAAACCCCTTTTAAATTAACAAAACACTAAAAAGGTGCATCTAGGAAGAAAACCAAAGTACCTTACGAGACTAGGTTACACAGTGGGATCCTGCCTTAAAAATAAACCCATTTGTGAACTATTCACTTTCGCCAACACTATCTGCGCCAGCACACAAGGGGAACATTTTAGACATTTGACACAGAAGAGGCAAGCCTTGGATCTTATTGCTAGAAAAACAAACTTACAAGTAAAAGGCCCATGATAAGCTGCACTGAACACAAGGAAGTCAGACGGCACTGTTCTCATGAACCCGTCCTGAGGGGTCAACTAGGCTTCTACTCTCAAAGTGTGGTTCCCAACACTTCCCACTGGTTGCTCCAATAGCATCGCCCATTAAATTGGGGTATGGCTGTCCCCTTCGCTAGGCTGCCTTTGACAGCAGCAAACACGGGAGGTGGGTGTCCCCACCAAAGTAGCCCACGGCCGCACCATCCCAGCTATTAGACATGGAGTTGTCCTGTCACCCACGGTAGAACAGCCAGTGTCCTTCACAACCATGAAGCTGTGAACATTAGCAAATGCATTAAATCTTGAGCTATGAGAAGAGCTTTCTTTGGAAGTAATCTTTACAGTAAGGAGGCAAGCAGCCAGAGGATTTTTTTTTAAGGTTAAAAAAAATATTTATTTTTATTTCATTCACATTGGGGTTTTGCCTGCATGTATGTCTGTATGAGGGCACTGGGTCCCCTAGAACTGGAGTTACAAACAGTTGTGAGCTGCCATGTGGGTGCTGGGAAGTGAACCTGGGGTCCTTTGGAAGAACACTCAGAGCTCTTAACCACTGAGCCATCTCTCCAGTCCCCGTAAAGACACGGTTTAACCAACCTTCCTTCCTTCCTTCCCCTCCTTCCTTCTTTCTTTTCTTCTTTCCTTCTTCTTCTTCTTCTTCTTCTTCTTCTTCTTCTTCTTCTTCTTCTTCTTCTTCTTCTTCTTCTTCTTTTTTATTTTGATTTCTTGAGACAGGATTTTTCTGTGTATCCCTGGCTGTCCTGGAATTCACTTTGTAATCAGGCTGTTCTCGAACTCAAGAGATCTGTCCTGCCTCTGTCTGTCTCCCTAGTGCTGGGATTAAAGGTGTGTGCCTCCATGCCCAGCTGTCAGAGGATTTTGATAAACTAAAATTATTATGACTTGAGTATTTGGAAGTGAGAAAGAAAATGTGAGCCCACCAATGACCAACATCATCAGGTTAAATCCAAGCGGAGCTTGGCATCTAGGAGAGCTTGTGTCGGGTGCGGTAGTGCATGCCTATGATCCAGCACTGAGGAGCCAGAGGTGGAAGGGCTGCTGTAAGTTCAAGGCAGGTCTGGCCTTCATCAGGAGAGCCCATTTCAAACATCAAAACAAAAGAAGACAACTTTGGAAAACTTGTATCTTTCCCGAGAGTTAAAGACTTCAGACCTCCTGTTCCACCTCCTAAATGCTGGATAACAGGCCTGTACCACCACGTCTCTGCTACCTACAGTCACAGCTTTAAAAAAAAAAAAAAAAAGGACAGATTCTCTCTATTATATAGCTCTGGTAGTCTAGCAATCTGTCCTGCAACCAGAATGGCCCGCCTCTCCCACCTTCCCTAAGAACTGGGATTAAAGTCCTCCAAGATCGCGCCCAAATCACTCCATCTTCCACCTGAAGCTGCTTTTGAAGTGCCAGCTTGGGTTCTGAGAGGTTACCTGACTCTCATAGCCTCAGGAGTCGTCAGCCTCTGTACTGCCCAGAACACTCTGACATCCGTGACCAGAGCTGAGAACACACACACTGGACGTGTAGTCACAAATGTGCTTTGGCGGGGTGAGGGCACAGTGTGGCAGTGTGCAGAAGGGAGGTGAGTGACCAGTGGGGACAGCAGTTTTAGGGACAGGCTTCTTTCTACCCAGAAATGTGGAAGCCTGACCAAGTCTCCCCTTGCAGGGTTAGGAGGTGCCCGAGCAGAGGTGGGTGGGTCTCTCAGAGCCTGCAGTCACTGGTCGAACTGCGAAGGCAGACAACCAGGAAGCGGGTGTGTGAATAGTTGAGTGTCCTATCAAATGAAATCTGGAGCAAAGTTCACCCAGGCATGTTTAATGATCGGCTTTCTCGCCCTGCACTTCCCAGTTAGGCTTGGACGGATGCCTTTTGCCAGCATGGCTGGAACTGAAACCACTCCAGAGCCAAACTAAACCCCGGGAGAGGGAGAAAAGGGCAGGTATTCTTTCTGGCCCACTGACTGGCCAATCGTCCTGCTGGGAGTTCCACTCCCTCTGCTCTGGTCCACGCACACACGCTCTCCCAGCCTCTCTCCACAACCACACACAGCGCCTTCACCCACAGCCAGTCGGTCAGCTAGCTCCTCACAGGCAGGCTCGTGCTGCCCTTGATGGTTCCGGGGCTGGCCAGGGAGGAGGAAGCAGTGGGGGAACAGAGAGAAGGTGACATGGAAAGGAACTGAAGATAAACCAGCAACGGGCACAGGGAAGAGGCTGTGAAAGACAGGCTGGGAGCCAAGGGCTGTCATCTTGGGACCGATGCCAGGGTCAGCAAACAGAAAGCAGAGACTGACTTTGGGGCTCTTTACGATGCGCAGCCTCTGACACTCAGACAGACAAGAGCCGAGGCCGTGACTGCCACCCGTGTCCTGTCCTGAGCTGCAGAGCAAACCGGGGCATGCTGGGCAGATACTCCATCACCAGCTTCATCCCGCGCTCTCGATGCCTTTCCAGACTCAATTACGTGTTCGCGCGGGGGTTTTAAAGTCTACCTCTCCCACAGCTGTTTCTCTTCTAGGCTCCTTTTTTCTTCTCTGAATCTGCACCCTGCCATGTCTCCACCTCACCAACATACACGAAAATCCTGGCATTTCTCTGTTGCCCATCCTACCTATCCTATAGGCAAAAAAGATACGCGTTTAGTCGCTGTGGGACAAAGGGAGGATGGAGAGCACCCACTGGCACAATGTTGATGGCGGGCAGTTCCAGGGTGTAGCTCCCACAAGCGAACATGTCCTTGAGCCTTTCCATGGACAGACAGCCACGATCGTGGTGGTAGGCCTGAGGCACGTGCAAACACTGACTCTCTACACAGCTCATCCCCACCGTCCTTGCCCTTCTAACACCCAGGTCAGAGACCAAATGTGAATGGCTGTGGCCATGGGTACCGCTGAGCTGTGCCCGGATGCTCTGCTGGTCCTCTTGGCTACTCTCTTAGTACCACCAGACCAAACTGTAACCAGTAATTGCCACTTTAAAGATGACACCATACAAGGGGAGGAGGTAATAATGAATTCAAAGCTCCTGACCACTCAGGCATTGGCACTATATGGAATAAGTTGTGTCTATTTCTACTAGGGCCATGGCACCCCTAAAAAGAGCTAGAACTCTCTGCACTCTTGCCACCCCCATCTGTGTAACGGTGACACTGGGCGTCTCCCACTCCCCTATCTCTATCGGAAATGACCTGAGAGGAGCTGAATGAACCCCACCTGTCTCCCTGGAGACCTGGAGCCGCTGGCCATTGCAGAAGGCACCCTGGCCCCTCCTGCCGGTGTACAGCCGCTCCTCTGTGCAGTGGTGAATCACTCCGAATTCCAGCTGTAAGGGGCAGGAAGAAAGCGGACGCACGTCACTCCTTGACATGGAAGTAACATCGGTGTAAAAAAACGAAGGCTCCTCTTAGAGCTGGAACCAGAACCATGACAATGGGACAGAAACCGCCTTCCAAAAAGGAATGGAGAAAAGCCGGCTTCAAACTACACCTGGACATGAAAGCAAGCCGTTTCTTAGATGAACATGTTAAAACTGTATAAATACTAATAAAATTAAAAAAGTTATCATAATAAAGTATTGAAAGTTTCAATCTTTAGAATGGCCTCTCTCTCATCACCCTCTACCCTTCCTTCCCCTCCCTGGCTGTGACTGGAAAAAAAAAACAAAACAGCTTAAGTTTTCTCCAGGTTGCTGGTGTGTGAAGAGCTGAGCACACATCCATTGAGGCCACGGAACCAGGAACCCATGGACAGCCCCAGGGAGCATGGTTACAGCTCAGAGAGGGTCCCTGTGCAGGCAGAATCAACAGTGACAAATTAGACAAAACCTCCCAACAAGTGGAAGTGATGAGCCTCCCTCTCAAGCACTGCTGTCTCCTCTCCTGCCCACCTTCATCACCTGGAGTTAATATGCCCCCGGGCGTGGGGTCAGGACCCACAGGCCCAGCTTTAAGATGCCTTAGCGGAGTCTTAGGTATCCCTGAGGTAAGCTTAGCCACTCAGAAATGGGTACCCAGCCCTACAGGACAGGCTTGATTGCCGGAGGGGACTTCCCATCAGTGTGTGGCTCTCCAGCAATACTTTCTAGATACCCCTTGCTAGTCTTCGTGACAACACCAGACAGAGAAAGTAACGGCTCATCAAGCCCTTACCCAACTGGCAATATTCAAATTTTTACTAACCTACACCAAAAGGGCTTTGAGGTATGAGCAAACTTTTGTTCTCATGAGGTGAACGTATGGTGATACTGAGGATGGCAACGCTATGCTGTTCTGAAGGGGGGCAGTTGTAGAAGACATGGAGACCCCAACTCTGCTCATGCTACTACAAGGAATTAAGGCTCTTGCCATGTTCCTGCATGAGCCTCCAGCCCTTGCCTTTCCCTCAGGTCTCATGCTATGGTTTGGTTCAGAAAGTCTCTGGGAATCCCGATAAGGCCACATTCTCATACTAATAGCCAGGAGGGAAAGAAGAATAGAATATTGAGATTAAAAATGTCATCCAAAAATAGGAGCTCCCTTGTTTGTGACGAGATCACACGCTCTCGGGGTCAGATGGAGATTCATTCTGACCATCTGCTCAGAACATCGCTTTGCACAGCAGCTGGGACTAGACCACAGCACTAACAAGAGCCAGCCCAGCCTGGGAGATAAGCCCAAAACCAACACCCCTACAAAAATCTTCTGTGACTCTTTATTTTCTTGGATTTGAAAAATTCATACTTGGATGTACTGGTCACGGTTAAGGTACATGCTAAAGAGCAATGCAGAGGTTGAAACCAAACAAGGAGGGTTACATTACCTCCTGGTGAACAGCAAATCCGATGCTGACTGCCACAGTAGGGAATCTGCAAGGGAAGACAGCAGCATGGGTTACACTTAATGCAGGGACACAGTTCTCAGAAGCTGTGGGTGTGGCTGTGGGAAGGCTCCCATCCAACACACAAGGACCTTCCTGCGCTCTGGCTGGGTTTGACTTTCAAAATGACTTTCCAGTTTCACCCACTGCCTCCAACATAAACAGCCGTAGCTAGCCGTGCTGTGAGATAGCTAACTTAAAGCAACAGCCGGGCTCTGCAAGCCGAGGTAAAGCTGATACAATGTAACAATGACCACATAATATTAACTAGGATGATTGTAACAACCACACTGCTGGCTCCCAGCAGCCTAAGCAGGTATAGACTTTGAAAAAGGCCAGCCCTTACTTGAGAATGCATGTGGAGGACCCAGTAGATGACGTCACAGACGCTGGACCGCAGCCACCACACAGATGCGGCCTTTCAGTAGTGCTAACGCCCCCATCCTGTGTCCTGCCTGAGCTCCAAAGCAGGCAACAGCAGGCGAGTCAGTGGTAGAGAGACAGTTTTATTTTAGAGCTGTGGTTTTGGTTTTCTCGGTTTGTTGCTGGGTCTCCAAATAATCTGTCCTTTGTGTTAAGATCATAGGAGTTTAAAAAACAGGAAGGGGGCAAGGAAAGACCAAGTACTGTTAAGCCACAGGGAGAAATACCAAGTGGGACCACGAGCAGAATCCTGTGCAGAAACCCCGAAGGGCAAGGCCAAGCCTCCTGGCTTCCTAGGCAGGCTCCTCACAGCGTTCCCTCAGCCATGCTGGCTATGGGCCCAGCACTGCTGGCTTTCAGATGGCTCAGGTCACAGGCTGCAGCTGTGGCCTTCACATACTGGGACTGCCAGGTCAACTCTAGAGCCTGCTTCTCAGGACACTCTTTGCAGCCCAATTCCCCTGAGGGCTGCAGATCAGGAAGTACTAGAGACCAGAAGGACACCAGAGCCATAGCAGACCTTAGCATGAACATATGGCCCTTGGCGGGAATGCCCTATAGGACACTGCACCCCTATTCTGAGTACCCCGGATGACAAACCCAGAAGTGAGAGGTACCCCACTCAGCAAAACACACCGAGGGGTTATGCTTTAGTGAAGTGACAGCCTGGTGGCAGCAGATGGCACTACTCCACAGCATCAAAAGGGTTCCCTTGCTCATGCACGGCTGAGCTCTCAAGGTAACGGTCACTACACAGTCATGCTTATAATGTATACTCAGAACTACTTTACAGGTAAGTACAGCACGGAGGCCAACAAGGGTCAGAGAGCTAGGCAGCCCACACCTGTGAGTGTGGGTCTCGGGGTGAGGAAGTGCTGGCCACACAGAACAACTCCAGGGAATGGCAAGTTAAAATACCTGCCCTCTGTGGAAGTCACGTCACCTATTGTACTGCTGGGTCTTTGCACAAGCTCCCATACCTGTCACTGCCAGGGACCTCTATGTAGCCCTTCAGCCTTACTCCCATAAGCCCAGTCTGCACTCATGTGTTAGCTCCTGGGAGTGACACTCAGCTCTCACTGGCACATCCTGGCTCTGTACCTTAGACTCAGGCCTCTTTTCCTGACTCCACCTCTTTTGTAGTGGCAACACCTTAAAGCCGTAGTTTCATCTATAGGCAATTACGTTTTCAGTTTTTAAAGTATAGTAAAACATTTTAAGTATAGGGGAAAGCAGGTCTCAAACTTGTGATTCCATCTTGGCCTCTTTGGATTATAGGCCTGTACTAGGAAAAAAACACTTTTAAAAGGTGTGTTGGGGGGTCTCAATGTAGCTCAAGTTGGCCTTGAGATCCTGATTCTCCTGTCTCCATCTCTCAAGTGTTGGGATTACAGGTGCATGCCACCAAATCTCCACACACGCACACGAACACACATTCACGCATGCACACACATATACACACAGGTGCGTGGTACCAAACTTCCATACATGCACACGCGCGCGCACGCGCGCGCGCACACACACACACACAAATGAGACAGGGTCTTACCATATGGCCCTGGCTGGCCTGGAACTCACAGAGATCTACCTATTTCTGTCTCTAAGCACTAGAATTAAAGGCGTGTGCCAACATGTTTGGCAAAAAATATTTTTAAAACAAAATTTCCTTCTGAATTCTTTAGAGTCACAAACGGAACCCCTACCCCTACCCCTAAGACAGGGTTTCTTTATGTGCAGTCCTTGCTGTCCTGAAACTTATGCTATAGACCAGGTTGGCCTTGGACTTAGAGATCCATCCGCCTATCTTGGATCAAAGGTGTGTGCTACCACTGCCTGACGGAAAGCTCTTTTAAAAAGTCAAGATAGGATTTTCTTTTAAAAGACCAGTTATCTACTGTACATTTATGTCTTCAAAAATTAGGTCATTGAAAAGAAAATCCAGGGACCACATGGAGCCCTGAGCCTGCAAGCTCCCAGCCCCTCCTCACCTGTGCACGAAGTTGCAGGTGCCATCGATGGGGTCGATGATCCAGGTTGGGCTGGGGGTGAGCACACACTTGGCCCCGGAGGCTGTGGCCTCTTCTGCAATGAACCTGCTGGGACAGAGGGGCTCAGCCTGAGTCAATGTCCAACATTCAGCAGACGAGCACGTGTAACAGCCCCAGTACAACCCCCGCCCCCAGCCGCCCCCAACCAGAGTGCCTCTCATTGGCAGCTTTGGAGGCACACAAGGAAAACAGAGCAGACCAGGCAGAGATGCAGGAGCTCAGAGCACCTGAAGGAGTGTGGAGGCAGGCGAAACTTGGTTCCCAATTCAGCGGCAGAAGCCCAAAAGGTCATGCTGGTGCGCAGAGCAGAACCCGGGCCGTGGAAGAGTAACTATCACCCACATTTCCCTCTGCCACAGGTGACCTCTACCCTTCCCTCCCTGGTTTCTGCTTCCTTCTCTCTGGGAGAAAATAAAGGCCTGAGTAGGGAGCAGTGTGGGCAGCAGGAGGCTTTACATCCCCCCTGTCCTGAGTGCTGAAGCAGGTTCCTGTCCTCATGGTGGCCTCCTTATGTGCTCCACTAGGGTCACACTGGCTGTCTTCAGCTGAGAAGTTGACACAGGTGATGGGGGCTCTCGACTGGCCCCTCTGTGACAAGGCCCTCTGTTATAAGGCTCCTTAACTACCCTCACGAGGGTGCTTTCTTGCTTTCCTTTTTTCTTTTGTGTGTGATTTTTTTTTGAGGCAGCGTTTCTCTCCTGGCATCTGCTTTGTGGATCAGACTGGCCTTGAACACACAGAGATCAGCCTGCCTCTGCCTCCTGAGTGCTGGACTAAAGGTGTGCTCCACCATGCCCAGTTGCTGCAAGAGTGCTCCCACTAGGAGGCTCCACCATGCCCAGCCACAAGTGTGCTTTTTGTCCTACTAGGAGCCAGAACCCAAATCTCAAACTGAACCTGCGCAGAAAGGACAGCCAGACTACTTAAAAACAGGGTCAACAAGCCCCAGCTGCTTGAGCCAAAGGCAGGGAAGCACCTATTCCTTCTTTTCTACCCACACGCGGGCTTGGACAGAAATGGCCCATTAGCTCTGCCACTTTTCTTGGGCAAAGACATAACGAGTCACACCATTTTTGGCACTGTCCTCTGTAGTTACCTGACTTCCCTAAAGTATCCTAGAGTTGTGTTTTTAAAGAAAAAAATGCCATATTCTTCATATATATATTTTATTACTATATAAAATTTTATGTGCATTGGTGTTTTGTCTGCATGTACGTCTGTGTGAGGATAATCATCAGATCCCTTGAACTGGAGTACAGACAGCTGTGAGCTCCATGAGGGTTCCAGGCATTGAACCTGGGTCCTCTGGAAGAGCAGTCAGTGCTCTTAATCACTGAGCCATCTCTCCAGCCCCCAGAAAATATACTGTACTCTTAAAAACACATCCAAGGAACAGGTGCCAAAGCCCATGGACGCAGCACTAGGTGGACACGGTGATGAAAAGGATCTGCCTCAAGTCAAGAGTTGTAACAAGCTCTCCATTTTCACTTTGGCGGTGTCTGCTTCTGAGACTCTCTTCTTTTCCGGCTACTGAATGTGGTCTCGAGTAAGTCAGGACTGTCTCTTCAGTCCGCGAAGGAGGTGACTGATGCTATTTGCTCCTGTCTTCCCACTGCAGCCCAGAGGGGAGTCCAGGGCAAAGCGCAGTGGGAAGATGACTGGGCACAAATGTCCAGGTTTGGTGGCAGGAAAGGATTTTCCTAGGTCAAGGACCTTGCGTTATGTTCTGATTGACTTACGCATTCAGCAGATATTGCTCTGTGCTAGGACACCAGAGGGCACCAGGTTACAATAACCTCGAGGGGGCAGAAGGCAGCAGGGACATTGAACAACTGTTCAAGCTGCCATCCTCTTCCCCAGCTCGAGAAAACCTCAGCATCTTGGAGGCATCACCCAAGAGGATACTGATGACCACAGGGTTTGTATCGGTGACAGGTCACCACAACCAAAGAGATGAAGAGACCAAAACACAGAATCAAACAGACAGCTGGTTCTTTGAAGAGATTAGCAACCTGACAAGTGCCTATCAAAACATACAGAAGAAGCCGGGCGGTGGTGGCGCAGGCCTTTAATCCCAGCACTCGGGAGGCAGAGGCAGGCAGATCTCTGTAAGTTCAAGACCAAGCCTGGTCTACAAGAGCTAGTTCCAGGACAGGCTCCAAAACCACAGAGAAACCCTGTCTCGAAAAAAACAAAACAAAACAAAACAAAACAAAACAAAACAAAACAAAACAAAAAAAAAACACATACAGAAGAAATGTAAATTAATAAAATTAGAGATGAAAAGGGCTTGTTAGACTCCAGGGGAATTCAGGAGATCACAGAATACTCCAGTTTAGAGCTAAAAGAAATGCACAAATTTTCTAAGTATAAACCTACCAAAATTAAAACCAGAAGATGCAGACAATGTACACAGGCCATAACGAGCAACGAGACTGAGGCAGTAACTTAATAAAAGCCCCAGGTCAGAAGGATCCACTACTGAATCCGACTAACCCTTTAGGAAGATCTGATAACAACAGTTCTCAACAGCTCTACCAAGCAGAGAGAACACCACCAAGCTCCATCTACCAAGACAGTATTGCCTAAATTATTAAATGCAGTATTATCTAAATAATACCTAAACTGGATAAAGACTGAAGAAAAAAAAAGACTACACGATGCAAAAATTCACAGCAAAGTACTTGCAGTCGATTCAAGAACACGTTAAGAAGATCCTACATCACAACCAGGCAGGTTTCTTCCTAAGAATACAAAGTTGGCTCACACTGCAAACCATGTATCCTGACATCACATAGACAGACTTGAGGATAGAAACCATCTTGAAAGATACAAAAAGACATCTGACAAAGTCAGATAAAAGTCTGGAAGAAACTAGGAACAGACAATACATACCTCAAAAAAAAAAAAAAGATACAAGACAAACATAAAGGCAGAATTATTTTCAATACTGAAAACTGAGCTTTTCCTCTAAAACCTGGAACAAGACAAGGAAGGAGAGAGGAAGGAGCCACCACTCTCCATTCTTACTTGATAAAGAGTTCAGTCATAGGTAGAGCAATAAGACTCTGGATAGATATAAAGGTTAAGAATGGCAAAGAAGAAATCAAGGTAGCCCTATCTGTAGATGATATGATTCTAGACAGAAGAGATCCTATGGACTCTACCAGAAAACCTCTGGATCCAATAACCCTTATGGTGGTTTGAATAAGAATGGTCTCCAAGGCTCACATATTTGAATGCCTAGTCATCAGGGATTGGAACTACTTAGAAGGATTAGTCGGTGTGGCCTTGTTGGGGTAAGTGTGTCACTGGGGGTGGTTTTGAGGTTTCAAAAGCTCAAGGCAGGCCCAGTGTCTCTCTGTGTGGCCTACAGATCCAGATCCCTATGCGGAACTCTGAGCTCATTCTCCAGCACTTACTGCCTAAATACTGCCATGCTCCCTGCCATAAAAATGAACTAAACCTCTGAAATTGTAAGCCAGCCCCAATTAAATGTTTTCTTTTATAAGGGTTGGAGAGATGGCTCAGTGGTTAAGAGTGCTATCTGCTTTTCTAAAGGTCCTGAGTTCAATTCCCAGCAACCACATGATGGCTCACAACCATCTGTAATGAGATCTGGTACTCCTTTCTGGCCTGTAGGCATGCATGCAGGCAGAATACTATAAACACAATAAATAAATCTTAAAAAAAAAAAAAAGTTGCTGTGGTCATGGTGTCTCTTTGCAGTTGACTGCTTGATATAGTACTTGTTTTCCTCAGGAAGTAAAGCAAGCCACATGATACATTCTTTTCACATTGCTGGTGAATTACAAGTAGACTTTAAAAAGCTAAAAGTGGGGGCTGAGGGTTTAGCTCAGTGGTTGAAAACTTGTATAGCATTCGCAGGTCATGGGTTCAACTTGATGCGCCTCCCCAAAGAGGACACTAAAAAGCAGTAAAATAATGTATATATTTTAACCAAAACTTGTTCTTTAATTAATGCATTTCTCATAATAAAAATGAATGACACCTATCATGTCCCAAACAGATGCTAAAGAGACTACCATGTGTGTATTTTTGTTACCCATGGCCGCACAGATATATAGGCAGACTGGAATAATCATCACTCAGAACTCCAGGAACCTAGTCCCATTTTCACAAGTTCAAGCATCTTTATGAGCTGTCACATAAAGGAAGGCAAGGGAAGCCCTGAACTCAAGGCCCTGGTGTTCAAGATGTGTCCTGCAGAAACCAGAGGCAGGAAAAGGGCTGCTCTAGAGTCTTACTCTAGAGCCCCCGGCTCTTCTAGAGCTATACGCAAATACTGAATAAATATCTTAACTATTCTAAGGAAATGATGACTGGCTTATAGTCAATCCTCCACAGGATGGTCCAAGAAGACAAAGAACTCTTGCCTTTGGAGGAAAGGTGTCCTTGTGAAGGCCTATGTCTCACCATGGACATTGTCCACAGCAAGGGGTGTCTATGTTACTGAATGTAGGCAATGGATAGAGTCTTAGACAGCTGATGTTTTAGCCTGTGCTCTTAGGATACACCCCTGGGTGGCCAGGGAGGCACGATTGTCAGAAGTGGAGCACAGAACCCTCTGGAGTCAAAGGCAGGGAGTGTTTCTGAGCATGTGTTGTTAGAAGTAGAACCTCTGACACACACACACAGTTTAAAAAAAAAAAAAAAACTAAAAAAAAAAAAAGGAAAATTAAGTTTGAACAGCTATCTTCTGTGAATACATAAAGCTTTCCCTGAAGCTATAAGTCTATTAAGAAAAACAACTCAGAGATCGGGTGGGCTACCTCTTTACAAGGTGTTGGTCAGGGAGGTCCCTGAAGCCCCAAACAACACAGGCTATTATTGCACTGCTGCTGGTTGCCCACCAGAACTAGAAAGGAAGCCCCTAAGGCTGAAGACGCCACGTGCTTTGGTGGAGAAAACAAACCGGAAGCTGTCTCCCTGCTGACCAGCTTTCCCAGTGCTGGGAAGTGTTATGAAGGCTTCAGAGGGGAGAGATGACACCTATGCTCTTACTCTGCTGTGGACACTGTGCATCACCAACCTGCCAGGCAAGATGTGCCTGCCCACTTTCCGACTGGATGAGGCCCATTCCACAGGAGGGAAGGGTATCATGTATGGTATCGTGGAAAGTCTGTGGCTGGAGACATCACAGATCCTAGTAGAGAAGTTACTATTAAATATTGACGTCTGGGCTGGAGAGATGGCTCAGTGGTTAAGAGCATTGCCTGCTCTTCCAAAGGTCCTGAGTTCAATTCCCAGCAACCACATGGTGGCTCACAACCATCTGTAATGGGGTCTGGTGCCCTCTTCTGGCCTGCAGGCATACACACAGACAGAATATTGTATACATAATAAATAAATAAATATTTTTTAAAAAATAAATAAATAAATATTGCCGTCTAAGTCCACAGATCAGTGCTGCTGTCAACTCTGGGCAGAGAAAAGTCTTTTTGTAGTGGACGACAGTTACTGCAACTTAGAACTTGTCTAAGTGCTGAGAGAAAGCGACTGCTGAGTGTTTAGCCCTAAATGAGGTCCATCACCTTCCCCCCAAGGCTCAGGGAACACAGAGGAAGAGGGGGCAGGAAGAATTTACAAGCCAGAGGAAGGGGTGGAGTGTTGGGAACTGTCATCGTCTAGCTATGGCCTGGCTGTTACACTCTTGAACTTTCAGCAGCTATAACCACCTGCACGAGATTGGGCCTGTCAGCGGTCCATCACGGAATGGGGAGGAGCTCATGAGACCAAGCCCCTTCCTGAAGATCTACAGGTAGTTAACAGCTGCTAAGGCAGGAGAGGCATTTTCTTCAGTGATGTAACCACTGGTGAGATGCCTGGGCCTTGGCAAATAGTCCCTCACCCTAAAATAATTCTTGTAAAAGTCATTGGTTCAGAGAGAGAGGGAAGAGGGATGGACAGACAGACAGACATGGAAGGAGGAGACCAGGACACTAGCTGGGAAGAGAAGCACCAGAAGTTGGAAGGGGACAAGAAGTTGGCAATGAGGAGTGAATATGGCCAAAATGTTAATACATGTATAAAAATGTTATAATGAAAGCCACTGTTATATATATGCTAATGAAAAACAAAGACAAATAAACCAAAAATTAAAACAAAACCCAAAATTTCTCCTATGTCTGGAAACAGAACTATAAAATAAAGTCAATATAAGTACAATGTAAAGTAAATGACTAGTTCTTTATCACGAAAACAAGAATCTCATATTTACCACAGAGAGACCCTGTCTCAAAAAAAGCAAAAAGACAAACAAACAAAAAAAAAAGAATCTCATATTTACTGATTGTACATGTAAGTACTTGGGGTTTCCCACCTGCCCCTCAGTGGCAAGTGGCAGAGCCTTTCAGCTGTGTGAGAGTTCCCCGGGCATGCCTCCGAAGAGGGCACTCACCTGTGGGAAGGAAACCGCTTTCGCAACTCAGAAACTATCAAGTCTTCGACACGGTGATCTGTCTCTGTCACCAGATCCGCAGCGGAGGTTTTGGTCGAGACGTGCTTTTCTTCACCGAGGGCTTTCCTGATGATCTGAAACAAGAGCGTGGCAGGCGGTGAGAACTCTCGGTCTCCTCCTCCCCAGCCCCTAGCCCTCTGTTTTTGGTGACTGGCCAGCTCTGGCAAGGGCCTGCAGTTACCCTCCTTCTTCAACGAGGCTTCTGGGCTCTCAGGACTCTAGGAACTGTAACCACCGCAAGACAGACTCCCTCAGACTCTACATTCAAATTCCATTTGAAACTCTACTCTGGGAAAAAAAAGTTTTGAAAAATGCTGGAACGTCATCAACAGGAACTCCCCAAAATAAGATGGCAATGTCACAGGTTTGCCTCCTAGAATTCCGTGATTTCAAATTGGCAAGATTTGTGTGTAAAAACTTCCCTCTGGGGCTGGAGAGATGGCTCAGCGGTTAAGAGCATTGCCTGCTCTTCCAAAGGTCCTGAGTTCAATTCCCAGCAACCACATGGTGGCTCACAACCATCTGTAATGAGGTCTGGTGCCCTCTTCTGGCCTGCAGGCATACACACAGACAGAACATTGTATACATAATAAATAAATAAATATTAAAAAAAAATTTCCCTCTGATTCACTTCACGAATTACACAAACATGCGGTGTGCCTCAGAATGCAGGCTACAAACGTCCCCATGAGAGCTGAGCTATCACGGGAACCAAGGATGGCTCTTGATGCTGTTTGCAGAACAGCACCAGCCGCCCAGGGGGCACATCAAAGATACTGGAGGCATCGAAGGGACCACAAATGCAGGCTCTACAGCTGGGCAAGCTGCAACTCATCTGGACTGAACCCACTGTAAGGGTAAGGCCTGGTTTAGCACCATTTCTGTTGGCCTGGGGTAGTCCCAGAAACCTCTAGAGACCTGAACATCGCTGAATGTTTCAAAAGGATACATTTCAGCTTGTGGGAGAAAGTCCTACCTCCAGTTCTATCTGGGGCTGTTTTATCCAAGTGTGTCTAAAACTGGATAAAAGTGGCGGTCAGGAAACCTAAATAGACCTGCCCTGTTCTCTCCAGAACTAGCTACCTCACCAAAGCATGCGTTTCTCTCCAAAGTGCCGTGATGACGTCAATCTCCATGATCTTTGTAAAGGTGGGAGGAGAAAAGCGGGGCACAAAGTTGTCCTTTGGTCTTCACAAGCGTATCAGGAGATATATATATATGCGCCCCACCCCCATGAACACATACATAATAAATTAATAAAAAAAGTACTACCCAGACCGGCTACTCAGACTTGATATCCTTTGTTCATTTATGACACTTAGTCCATAGCATCCGACAAGCAGTACCTGGCCCACTACTGTGTACTAAAGACACCAAAGTGGAGAGGACTTTAGTGGGGAGGAGGGCTGTAAATAGAATCTTTTAAATTACATTTCACTTCTGTTTTGTATGTGTGTCTGGCCATCTGTGAGCACACACAAGCCACAGTGTACCTGGGGAAGACAGAGGAAAATCTGTAGGAGTTGGCATGCCCCAAATATCAAACTCAGATCCTCCGGCCCACAAATGGAATCTTAAAGAACAAACAGAAACATGACATCTAGTGGTCCCTCCTCTCTGCTTCACTGTCCTTCCCATAACTGACCCATGATGCGCCTACCAAGGTAAGGCTATATTTGAATCTGGGCTCCAAAAATAACAGATAACCATGATAGATTTGAGATGTGATGTGCAATATGAAAATCATGAGGCCACCTACAGTCCATCAACGTCAGCTCGCCACTGTTCATATCCTGCCGGCCTCCAGCCTGCACTGCAGGGCTTCCTGTCTTGAATTGGCAATATCCTGCCTATTACCACCATGCTAATTCTCTTACAACACCAATTTACACACAGCGTCTGTGTAACCAACCTCCACGGTGCTCATAAATTCAACACTCTTCACTGTCTAGCTCACACAGAACCTGACATCCTCCAGGAATCCCAATTCTGGGCCAGTCCAGGCAGGCCACTTGGCACTGTGTGTATATCTTATACAGGGAAGGAGGTTCAGCGTGTGGGTGCAGCAGGTGTATCTGGGTAATGTGTATGCTGTGGTGGGGGAGGCAGGAGAAAGTAAGAACAGGGGAGAGAGACCCATCTCAAGAGTCTAACAGGACCACACAGCACCAGAGCTTCCGGGATCTGCTGGGAGAAGATTGGTTGCTAGGTCAGGGTTGGGGTCTGAGATCAACTTTTCTGGCAAGATTCATCACGGTAAGGAGGCAGGGCAGTTTTCATATCTTGGAGCAAGGAGGGTCACCAGGAGGCTGGGACAGTCTCATTTGGCAGAAGGGTCGTGTGTGTGTGTGTGTGTGTGTGTGTGTGTGTGTGTGTGCGCGCGCGCACGCGCGCGCAAAGATATCTCCATTTTGAAACCAGTGCCTCCTGGGACCTGCTTAACAGGAAGCAGCCATGAAACCAGTTAGCCTGATACACACCCATGTGGTCTCAATGTAGAAGCTGGATTAAGGATTAAAGACAAAGATCTGAAAACACCCCAGTGGCTTCCTACTGCTGCCAGAAGGACCCCAAACATGACACGGCCAGATCCTTGCCAGCCTGTCACCTCACCTTCCATGGGTTACCATACCAAGCTGCTCTCCTACATCTATCTGTCGCCGACTTCCCTGCTGATCGTGGCAGAATGTTCCTATCCAGGGCCTTCACCGTCTGGTCCTCCATCTACCTTCTCCCTACCTGCGGCTGTCTTGTAGGTGGAGTTGGCTGTGCTGCTCCCATGGCAACATGAGCTCCGCGACAGCAGAGGCTCCCTGACATTTTATTTAGCTGCCCACTTTCTCCTCCAGCACAGAGCTGTGGGAATGGAAGGAGAGGGAGTGCTGGAGTGGTTCCTACCACGTTCCTTCCAACAGGACCACGGATGTCTGTGTAAACACCAGCCACCCCAGTTGTCTGTTCTCTTGCCTCCTTTTCTGGTTGTGCTAACCAAGGTTCCAATGGGCCCAGAGCCTGCTATCCTCAGGGCCTTCCTAAAACATGGCCTCATTTACTACCCTGCTTCCAAAGCCAAACTCAGTCTGTCTCAGGCACTCGCCCCTACCCTAAGCAGCCAGCTGTACCTCCGTAACCGTGCATCTCCTCTCAGCAGACAGCGCAGACGGCCCTCACTACCCTGGATGTCAAGGTCACAAGGGAGGAGCTCAGCAGCTTCTGGACTTGGCCTTAGGCATCTATCTTCCCTTCTTCCTTTCAGGACCAGAGCCCCCAAGTTTCAGGAGGGTCCAGAGCTGCCTTCAAAGGTTATCCTGACTTCCCTCTTGTGCTGCTGGGTCTGGGATGGAGACACCGCTGCAACTTCGGAGCCACAGCCTCAAAAAGACTGTGCTCCCCTTCAGTGTGTTTCTTCCTTCACAAGTTCCTGATCCCCACTAATGACAGCCAGGGCAGTCACAAGAAGAGGGCTCTTGGCACAGGAGAAAGGACCTTGGCTCCTGGGGGTTCCACAAGCAGAGCCTCTCTCTGGGCCACATGTTAACTGCACTTCCTAAAGGCCAACAAGAGCCCCGTCTCTCATGTCTACCCTCCTCCTTCCATGCTCTCTCTCTAAGGCTTTCAGTGCCAGACCTTCCCATCTGTGGTGGTTTGAGTGAGCATGACCTCAACAGGCGCATACACTTGAATCTTGAATGCTTGGTCACCAAGGGGTTTGAAAGAATTACAAAGATTAGGTGGTGTGGCGTGTTGCGCTCTCTCTCTCTCTGTCTCTCTCTCTGTCTCTCTCTCTGTCTCTCTCTCTCTCTCTCTCTCCCTCTCTCTCTCTCTCTGCCTGGGGATCAGGATGCATTTCCCACTACTGTTCCAATGACTTGTGTACTGCCCTGCTCCCACCATGATAATGGACCAAGCCTCTGAAACTGTAAGAAATCCACCAATTAGATGATTTCGTTTCTATTCCAGGAAGAGACACCATGACTCTTTTTATTTTATTGGTTTTTCGAGACAGAGTTTCTCTATGTATCCCTGACTGTCCTGACACTCGCTTTGTAGACCAGGCTGGCCTTGAACTCAAAGAGATCCACCTGCCTCCGTTTTTCAAGTGCTTGGAATAAAGGTGCTCGCCACTGCCGCCCCACATGACCAGAGGTTTTTTTTTTTTCTTTTTCTTAAAGATTTTATTTATTAGCCGGGCGGTGGTGGCGCACGCCTTTAATCCCAGCACTCGGGAGGCAGAGGCAGGCGGATCTCTGTGAGTTCGAGACCAGCCTGGTCTACAAGAGCTAGTTCCAGGACAGGCTCCAAAACCACAGAGAAACCCTGTCTCGAAAAACCAAAAAAAAAAAAAAAAAAGATTTTATTTATTTATCATGTATACAGTGCTCTGCCTGCATGTATGCCTGCAGGCCAGAAGAGAGCACTAGATCTCATTACATGTGGGTGGTGGGAATTGAACTTAGGACCTCTGGAAGAGCAGCCAGTGCTCTTAACCACTGAACCATCTCTCCAGCCTCCACAGCAACTTTTATAAAAGAAAAACATTTAATTGAGGTGGCGTACAGTGCCAGAGGCTCAGTCCATTATCATCATGATGGAGAGTATGGCGGCACGCAGGCAGACCTGGTGCTGGAGAAGGAGCTGACACATGTTGATATGCAGGCAACAGGAAGTAGACTGTAACAACGGCCGGTATCTTGAGCATATATGAGACCTCGAAGCCCACCTCCACAGTGACACACTTCCTCCAACAAGACCACACCTACTCCACGAGGCCATACCTCCTAATAGTGCCTTTGCGATTATGATGGCCAATTATTCAAACTACCAGTGTCTCTTCACAGCAATAGAGCAGTGGCTGAGACACCACTCTTCCCTCTGACTCAACCTGAAAGTCACCCCTTCCACAACAGGCCCCCCACGGAGACCAGCATTTGTTCCACAGGACTGCAGCACAATGAAACCTGAAGGCTCCCCAGTGCACTTAGCACTTGGCGAGAACCCCTTCATTCCGTGTCCATCCCTCACAAGCGTGGGTGGCCACACCTGAAGGGCCCCGTGAACACTTGCTGATGGAGCA